ATCTATTGGCAGGGCCTGAGAGGGTTTTAACAATGAAAAAATTGGCCGGAGCCAAGCAAGGTGGTTCATGCCTGTAATCCTGGCACTTTGGGAGGCTGAGGCAGGCGGATTACCTGAGGTCAGGAGTTTGAGACCAGCTTGACCAACATCGAGAAACCCCCGTCTCTACTAAAAATACAAAATTAGCCAGGTGTGGTGGCGCACGCCTGTAATCCCAGCTACTTGGGAGGCTGAGGCAGGAGAATCGCTTGAATCGGGGAGACGGAAGCTGCAGTGAGCCAAGATTGCGCCACTGCACTCCAGCCTAGGCAACAAGAGTGAATCAGAAAAAAGAAAAGAAAAAGAAAAAATTGGCCTGGCGTGGCGGCTCAAGCCTGTAATCCCAGCACTTTGAGAGGCCAAGGCAGGCAGATCACCTGAGGTCAGGAGTTCGAGACCAGCCTGGCCAACATGGTGAAACCCCATCTCTACTAAAATACAAAAAATAAGCCAGGCATGATGGCACGTGCATGTAGTGCCAGCTACTGGGGAGGCTGATACAGGGGAATCGCTTGAACCTGGGAGGCGGAGATTGCAGTCAGCCAAGATGGCGCCACTGCACTCCAGCCTGGCGACAGAGCCAGACTCCGTCTCAAAAAAAAAGCAATCAAAAAATTTATAAGCAGCTCACTCTGGGCAAAACCCTGATGCCCACTTGAAACCTGCCATGTCTGAGTTTTAGCAGTGCCAGAATCTGAGGCTACCAACACGCCTCTGGGAACCTGCTACTGCCAACTATCCTTCCCATAACTACCTGAACAAAGCCAGTTATCAGTTCAGAGTGAGCACCTTGACAGGCATGGTTTGCTTGGCCCAATAGCATCTCTGGCTTTCTGGGTCAGCCTGTCTGGGTCACTTTATTACTCCCTGGACAACTTGATAGGATGAAAAGTGTTTAGGCTTTAGAGTTATGCCAACCTCAGTGTAAATTCTCATTCAGACACTTAACCGGCTGAGGAATACCTGGGGTCAGTCACTTAGCCACAAAGAGCTTCACTGGTAATAAACTCGCCTACCTTGGAAGGTTACTGTAGAATATATGAAACAGCATGCCATTTCCATGAAGGAAGGTACCATGTGTGGCTTATGGTCGGCACCTGGAACACTGCCAGCTTCACAGTAGATGCTCAAGAAATACTGGTTGCATAAATAGAGGACCTAACACAGTGCCTAGTACTTAACAGGTACTCAATAAAGACTAATTTCCTTCCCCTTTCCTGTAGGGATGCTAAATTTAGAACACAGCCCTGAGTAGAACAGCCCATAACTCCTACCCCCAAGGATCTCCCAGCTGCAGCCTCCAGGATAATTACCCGATGCCACCACAGTAGCCAGGTGGTGCAGCTTGGAACAGGACAGTACCTGAGAGGAAGGCGGGTACCTTCTACCCAGGCTCAAAGGATCCTGAGTCAAATGTTCTTTACTCCCTGGCCTCAGGGAGAGGATGCATGCTCAGAAATGGTTTTGACATAACTAGCTCTTCCACACACATCCCCTCTGTTCACCAAGAGGAAGTGACATGTGGTATGTTGTCCAACGGGCTCTGACAATTCTTAAGCAAAGAGATGGAAGATGGAATTTCAATCCAATGGAGATCTAATAAACTTGCCCAGAGCTGCTGTGTCTAAGACCTCTTTCATATGCACCACTGGGCAGCTGGCAATTCTCTGGTAGGGGTAGCCCTCTGCAGAGGCTGGCTAGCAGACCAGGCACCTCTCCCAGACTGCCTTTTGTTTATAGCTGGCAACAACCCACCTGGTATTAGGACCACTGGCCAAAGACAATAGTCAGGCAAAGTGGGCAAGTGGCCTCAATCCCCACTTGGAGATGCCTCAGAGGGTGTGTCTGCAGTACTGGAATCCTGTCCCTCCTGTAATCAACTGAACAAATATTTGCCCCAAAAGAGAATTCAAAGCAGGAGGGAACAGGAGAGGTCACTGCACAAACCAACAGGAACTATTTAATCATTTATCCCCCCAGGGAGTTCATTTACAGAATGGCTTTCAAGTCTAGTCAGTCTTAGCTCAAGAGAACCCACCACCTTTACCTCCTCTGACCCCACCCCAGTTATCTGACCTCTATTGACTTGACCCCCTTGCCTTTTAGAAGAGGTGGCACAGAAGAGTTGAAGTTGCAAAGAAATGGGAAATGAGGGGGTGGGGTTCCAGGGCAAATTCTGGTCTCTTGCTCAGTGGTAAAGTGAAGTGCCTGCCACGCCCTAGGCCCAGCCTATAGACAGTGCATTCTTGACATTCCTGAGTCCATGGTGCATGTCCCCTTCCACCTCAGCTCCTTCAATGGATGACTTATTTTCCACAGCTTGTTGCTTTTCTGCATATTCTGAAGGGATAGAATACCTCTCATAAACCTTGCACCTCCCCTAGGTAAGGAAATAAGCAAGAAACCAGGACTGAGTTCACTGAAGAGCAAAACTTGCCCACAGTGACCACTGGTGAAGAAGCTTTCCCCACCACCTCATCCTGGCTCAGTGATGAGCAGGAGAACTCTCCCTCCCTGGAAAGGGAATTTGCTGGTGTTGGTCACTGTGCTCACATTATTGCCAAGATTTACAATACTCTGTAAGTCAAGGAGAGCTTGCCACATTTTTAGTGGAAGAAACTAAGCCTTGAGAAAGTAACCCAGCCTGTCCAAAGTCACACAGCTAGTTATACGACGGAGCTAGATACATGACAGAGTTTTAAGACAGGGACTTATACCTGCATCTGAAGTCTGTTACTAAATCTCAATGTCCCACAGAGCCCCAAAGACTGGGTTCTTGCTTTGCCAGCAAACAGTGCTTGGTGAAGAGGCCCCAGGGCTCTGGCCGGAAAGTAACAGGCAGAGCAGCTGGAGCTCCCCAACCGACCCCAGGCAACGAGGTGCAAAGTCCCCGGGCTTAATGCGTGACACAGCAAGTGCTCCACAAACAAGGCAACCATGCAGAAAGTCACACACTTTGGGGGAAATGAACTTAGGGGGCGCAGTCCAAACACAATCTGCACAGCCTACACTGCCCCAAAATCTGACAATTCTCAGCCATTCAACCCAGTGGGAACTCCTGCCTGTGGCCATGCCCTAGTCTGAGAGAAGAGTGCCTTACACGGAAACTTTGAAATAAAGGGAACTTGATTTGGAGAAGAGAAGCCCAGGATAGGACTGAGACCCCTTGGGGGAACAGATGGAGAGGTCTGTGGGTCACTGATACTCATCACCCTTCTGTGTGTGAACCATTGTATACGGTAAGGGAAACACCAAACTAATTTCCTACCCTCACAGGTTTGGGACTTAATGAACACATAGGCTATAGTTTTCTTTGCTAAGAAACTGGAACACAAGTATGGAATAGTGGAGTCATGGGGGTGACCAGGGTAAAAGATGCCTGATCTCTGAAGCACCGGGTCATTTGTATTTCCAGGGAGTTAACCACTTGTCGTGAAATGAGGTCAGGTTTCCTCAACTATCAATGTCTCCAACAATCACTCAACCTAACAGAAAGAGATACAGAAGAAGGGCAGTTGGGGATCTCTGACCAGAGGCCAAAGAAAAGGGACACACAAGGGGCTTGGTTCTTACCCAGCCGCCGTTCTCCTGGATCCAAGGCTCTAGGTGGTCATTCAGGTAAGTGGCCATCCAAGCTGCGATCCGACTCACCAATACCTGCATCTCCTTGTCTACGCTTTCCACGCACAGTGCCCCGCCGAAGGAGAAAAAGGCCACAATGCGACCCCAGTTCACCCCATCCCGGAAGAGTTCATTCACTACCTGTTCAAAGCTCTGATATGCTGTCCCTGGGGTGATGTGGAGCTGGGATGTCAGGTCACTGAACGCCCGCCGGTACCGCAGTTCAAACTCGTCGCCTGCCTCCCTCAGCGCTTGCTTTACTGCTGCCATGGGGATCACCTCCCGGGCATCCAAACTGCTGCTGTGGCCAGTGGCTCCATTCACCGCGGGGCTGTCCACCAGGTGCCAGGATGGGTTGCCATTGATGGCACTGGGGGTCTCCATCTCCGATTCAGTCCCTTCTGGGGCCTCAGTCCTGTTCTCTTCCACATCACTAAATTGACTCCAGCTGTATCCTTTCTGGGAAAGCTTGTAGGAGAGAAAGTCAACCACCAGCTCCCGGTTGCTCTGAGACATTTTTATAATAGGGATGGGCTCAACCAGTCCATTGTCCAAAACACCTGCTCACTCACTGAGTCTGGTCTCTGGTTAGTGATTCTCTTCTAAGATCCAAAGCCAAGATAAGATTCTGAAGGGAGAGAAAGAGCTTTAGGAAAAAAAAAAATTAATATGCATGCCACTTACCCTAAACATCCCATTCCCCCTCCAGGTACCAGAACTGGTTTCTTTGTGGGTCTTACGAAGGTCTGGGTCTAGGTTCCAAGATACTTCAATTAAGTCAAATCGAAAGCACCAGTGGACTCTGAATCTCCCACCAGCCTTTTCTACCCCCCTCTTCTCCGAAATGCCTTCCTCGGAAAGTCACCCCTTGGGCAGTCCCCCCCTCACTCCCCCTCCCCCGCACCACCTACATTCAAATCCGCCTTAGGCAAAGGCAGGCAGGTGCAGCCCCCGGAAGATCTTTTGTATCACAGGTCGGGAGAGGAGGTGGCTGCGGGGATGCCGGTAACTCAGCCGGCCTCGCGGCGGCTGGCAAAACACCCAGCTCCGGCCGGAGGGATCATGCGACCTGGCAGGCTGGGAGCCCAGAAGGCGACACAGGAATTGCGAAGCTCAGGAACCAGCCCCCTCGCTTGCTTCCTCCTCCATCGCCCGGATCGAGGGCGGCCGCTCCGCAGCCGCGGCCTCCTGCCACCCGGGAGCCCAGCCCCCTCGCTCTTGCACGCCCCTTGGCTCTCCGCCTCCTACTGGGAGCCAGGAGAACTCTCCCGGAGGTGGCTGGTATGGATTTAGTTGGTTTTTTTTTTTTCCTTTCTTTTTTCTATTTAAGTACCAGCCCAGGGTGAGGTGGAGGCGTCCGAAACCCTGAAGAGACTTCTCAATGGGGTTCAAGGTTTCGGTGAGGGACGCAGGGAGGGGGAAACTGCCTCGGATCTGCGATCTGACTTTGGGAAGGCCACCCCCAGGCCTGTCTGGGAGGTTGAAGGCCGGAGACCCCCCACAAATGCCGCTGGTTTTCTTTGAATTCCCCAAAGGCCCTGAACGTGGCGGTAGGGAATTGCCGGGTCCTCCATTCCCCGCCCGGACACAATGGCCGCCGGCGCCCTGCACAAAGACTGGGTGAGGGTGAGGCGCTGGGCCTCTCCTCAGGTCAGGAAGAGGGGTCGAGGCCTGCTCGACGGCCCCACAGCTGAGACCACGTTTTCCTGGGGACAGGCCCAAAGTGGCTTCCTGGCGCCCCCGGGAGGGCTCCGGGGCCGGGGGCTGCACCTCTCCGGAGCCCAGGGTGGGCCGGCTGCGGCCTCGCGGCTTCTCGCGCTCACTAGGCCCGGTACCCGCCGAGCCACCGCCCCGTTGCTAAGCAACCGCCCTCCCCCGGGGGCGCCCCCTAGACCTTTCTAGGAGGAGGGGCCTCGCCCCCGGCGGTTCTCCCCAGCGCCGCCAATCAGCGAGCCTAGCCGGCACGGAAGCGGGACGGCGAAGGCTCCTATTGGGCGCAGCGGCTGTCAGGCACAGGGGAGGCGGCGCTCTCACCTGTGAGCCCCGCGAGCCGTGGGGGGCCACATCCCCTTTCATCGGCCCGGTAGCTTCCAGACGCAAGAGCTCTTCGCGGCCGAGTTCCGCGCCGCGGACCCGGGCCGGCCTACCTGGCTGCCGGCCTACCTGGCTGACTGCTCGCGCCGTCTCTCCCGAACAAGTCGGCCTCAGTTTCCCCTGAAGAGACGGGGGAACTTGCAAGCTCAGTCACTTCCGGTGCTGCGGCAACGCGCGCGAGCCCGAGACGCAAAGGGAGTGCGCGCCTTGAGTGACTGGCATCAGGACCGGGGAGAGATCGCCCCCTCGCGGTAGATCCGGGGAATCGGAAGGCGCAAAAAATCAACATTTATAATCACATTTCCATGTATTCATTAATCAGTCAGTCAGTCAGTCAGTCATCAGTCAATCAGCCTATTTCATCCGTCCGTCAGTTTATATATAGAAGAAGCATCGCCTTGTGGTTAAGCACTTTGTCTGGATTCTAACTCTGCCAGTTAGGCAAGTTTCTCAACTGCTCTGCGCTTCAATGTCCTCAATTGTAAAATGGGTAATAGTACCAACCTCTCTCGTTGAGCTATTGTGATGATTTAAAAAGTTATTAATTGTAAAGTCCATAGGACAGGCCGGGCGTGGTGACTCAAGCCTGTAATCCCAGCACTTTGGGAGGCCGAGGCGGGCGGATTACCTGAGGTCAGGAATTCAAAACCAGCCTGCCCAACATGGTGAAACCCCGTCTCTACTAAAAATACAAAAAATTAGCTGGGCCTGGTGGCGCATGCTTGTAATCCCAGCTACTCGGGAGGCTGAGGCAGGAGAATCACAGGCGTGAGCCACCGCACCCAGCCAATTTCCTTATATCCTGAACCACACAGTGTGTTATCAAATGTTTTATCTTTGCCAATTAGATGGGTAAAAACTGAAGGCATTTTCATATTTCTTTTTTTATTATGAATGAAGTTGAGCAATTTGTCATATTTTTTAGTCTTTCTTTGGAGGGTGGATCTTGTGTTGGTGAATTCTCTTCATATTGTTTACCCCCTTTCCAGGTGGTCTTTCTGTTGAACTTTTTCCTCATTTGTTGTTGTTGTTGTTGTTTGTTTGAGACAGAGTCTTGCTCTGTTGCCCAGGCTGGAGTGCAGTGGTGCTATCTTGGCTGACTGTAAACTCTGCCCCCCAGGTTCAACTGATTGTCCTGCCTCAGCCTCCCTAGTATCTGGGACTACAGGTGCACACCACCACGCCCAGCTAATTTTTGTATTTTTAGTAGAGACAGGGTTTCACCATTTTGGTCAGGCTGGTCTCAAACTGCTGACCTCAGGCGATCTGCCTGCCTCAGCCTCCCAAAGTGCTGGGATTATAGACCTGAGCCACCGTGCCTGGCCTTTTTTTTTTTTTGAGACAGGGTCTGTCTGTCACTCAGCCTGCAGTGCAATGGTGTGATCTCAGCTCACAGCAGCCTTGACCTCCCCATCCCAGGTGATCCTCCCACCTCAGCCTCCCCAGTAGTTGTGAATACAGGCTCGCACTTCCACGCCCAGCTAATTTTTTTATTTTCTGTAGAGAATGGAGTTTCCCCATGTTGCCCAGGTTGGTCTCAAACCCTGGGCTCAAGTGATCCGTCTGTGTCAGCCTCCCAAAGTGCTGGGATTACAGGCATTAGCCACACTTAGCCCTGATTTATTATTACTATTTTTTTTTGAGACAGAGTCTCGCTCTGTCGCCCAAGCTGGAGTGCAGTGGTGCAATCTCAGCTCACTGCAGCCTCTGCCTCCGGGGTTCAAGTGATTCTCCTGCCTCAGCCTCCTGAGTAGCTGGGATTACAGGCACCTGCCACCACACCTGGCTAATTTTTGTATTTTTAGTAGAGACAGGGTTTCACCAGTTGGTCAGGCTGGTCTCGAACTCCTGACCTCGTGATCCACCCACCTCGGCCTCCCAAAGTGCTGGGATTACAGGTGTGAGCGACCGCACCTGGTCTGATTTACATTTTTGGACCTGTGGTGTCACAATTATTTCAATATGAAAAGTATCATTATGGAAGCCTCAGTGTGCTTTGGGAGCCTAGCAGAGGGCAGATAAACTCTGTCCACAGATAGGGGCTTTACTGAACCAGCCCTCAAAAGAAGAATCGAATTTTGCTTGTGAGAGAAAGAATGTAGGAGTATTTTAAGCAGAAGATATTGCTTGAGCGAAGGCCTGGCAACCCAGCATGAGAGCCCATGGTGTCCTGGAAATAAATTGGGATGACTGAGGGGAGTGGTAGAGAGGAGATGGAATATAAATGTGTATCCATGGCGAGCAGCACATCCTCAAATAGCACCAGAGGAGCCAGCAAAGCTTTTTTAACACAGAAAAGAAACATGAAGAAATTTATAGTTTGGAAAGATGGATACAGTATTTTTGGAAAAGGAATTTTGCAATCTTGAAAGTGGCTCTCAATGATCTTTGACTGGGATTCAAATTTAAAGAAAGTAAGTTACATTTAAATCTAAGAAGTAAGTTTCTTTTTTAATGCTTCTCTGTATTGTCTACGCATACTTTGTATTTTTTTCTTTCTCTTTTTTTCTTTTTTTTTTTTTTTGAGACAGAGTCATAACTCTGTTGCCCAGGCTGGAGTGCAGTGGCATGAACTTGGCTCACTGCAACCTTGCCTCCTGGGTTGAAGCATTCTCTGGCCTCAGCCTCCCTCTTTTTTTTTCTTTTTTTTTTTTTTTTGATATGGACGCTCGCTCTACCGCCCAGCGCTGGAGTGCAGTGGCACAATCTCAGCTTACTGCAAACCTCTGCCTCCCGGGTTCAAGTGATTCCTCCTGCCTCACCATGGTTGGCAGGCCTGGTCTCAAACTCCTGACTTTGTGAATCCGCCCACCTCGGCCTCTCAATGCTGGAATTACAGGCATGAGCTACCACACCCAGCTATTAGTTATTTTATTTATATTTTGAGACGGAGTCTCACTCTGATCGCCCAGGCTGGAGTAAGTGCGCGATGATCTCAGCTCACTGCAAGCTCCACCGCCTCCCGCAGATTCAGCCATCTCCTGCCTCAGCCCCGAGAAGCTGGGGACTACAGCGCCCCATCACCACGCCCGGCTTTTCTTTTTTTTGTATTTTTAGTAGAGATGGGTTTCAACCGCTGTTCTCGCCCAGGATGGTCCCTCATCTCCTGACCTTCGTGATCTGCCCGCTTCTCGGCCTCTCCCAAACAGTGCGCTGGGATTACAGGGCGTGGGCCCACCGTGCCCGGCCTATGTGTTTTAAACTATATAACACTATTTAACAAGCAATGGCCAACTGTTGGACGGGCAACATGCTGGGCTCACTTCTCGTAACGTACCACCCCCTTGGGGAGGCCAAGGCCAGGTGGATTACGAGATCCAGGGTTGCAAGACCAGCCTAGGGCAATTCGTGGTGGAATCTTCGTCTCAACTAAAAATGCAAACATTACGCCAGGTATGGTGGGCAAGGTGCTGGTATCCTAGCTACTCAGTGATGGCTGACGGCAGGAGAATTCACTTGAACCTTCAGGAGAAGAGGCTTGCAGTAAGCCAAGAGCACTGCCACCACACTCCGCGCAGTCTGGGCGTCTACAACTGATAACTCGGTTCCCTCAAAAAAATAAAAAAAGATAATTCATGAAAACAGCACCAGCCATGGTGGCCCTCAACCTTGTAATCCCAACCAACTTTGGGGGATCTCTGAGGCAGAAGATGCTTTTGAGCTCAGCCAAGGAGTTCAATACCAGTGTCCCTTGGCGCAACATAGTGAGACCCTCTTCTCCTACAAAACAAAACAAACAAAACATTAGCCAGTGCCTGATTGGTTCATATTCACACTTCCTGTAGTCCTACAACTCCAGTCTTATGATCGAAGGTCAGGAGTATAAATTCGCTAATGCCTGTGGAGGGTTGTTTTGTGTTCGAGCTACGGGTTGGGAAATGCGTGAGTCATACCTATTGTAACACTCCAGCGACAGACGGGTGAGACACCTCTCAAACAAAAAAAAAAAAAAAGAATTTCAGAAACATATTGAATGGAAAAAATTGCAAAAGAAAGAATAATGTAGGAAGAATCTACTTATACGCAGTTTAGAAATAAGCAAAACTATACAATTTAGAGTTTGTAGTATCTAGCTTCCTCCAAGATGGCACCTGAATATCCCTGCCTCTTCGTATTCACGCCCTTGTGTGTTTTCCTCCTACACTGAACCACAGTTGTTCTGTGTGACTAATGACAAATTGCAGCAATGGAATGTTTCTTTCCCTCCCTTCTTTTCTCTCTTTCTTTCTTTTCTTGACAGGGTCTTGCTGTTGCCAAGGCTGTGGCGCAGGGGCACAGTCACGGCTCACTGCAGCCTTGACCTCCTTGACCCAAGCAATCCTCCCCCACTCAGCCTCCCTAGTAGCTGGGACCACAGGTGTGTGCCACCACACCTGGCTAATTTTTGTATTTTTTGTAGAGACGGTGTTTTGCCATATTGCCCAAGCTGGGGGTATGTCACTTTCAAGACTTGGTTACAAAAGATTGTGGCTTCAGCCGGGCGTGGTGGCTCACGTCTGTAATCCCAGCACTTGGGGAGGCCGAGGCCGGTGGATCATGAGGTCAGGAGATCCAGACCATCCTGGCTTCCTGGCTAACACGGTGAAAACCCATGTCTACTAAAAATACAAAAATGTGGCCGAGCATGGTGGCACATACCTGTAATCCCAGATACTCAGGAGGCTGAGGCAGGAGAATTGCTTGAACCTGGGCTGCAGAGCTTGCAGTGAGCCGAGATCCCGCCACTGCACTCCAGCCTGGGCGAAAGAGGGAGAGTCCAAATCAAAAAAAAAAAAAAAAAAAAAAAGATTGTAGCTTCTGTCTTTGTGTTTGTGGTCTCTCTCTCACTCTGGGGGAAGTCAGCTGCCATGTTGGGAGCAGCCCTATGGAGAGGTCGATAGTCATGTGAGGGTCCTCCTGGCCCAGTAAAGCCTTCAGGTGATGATAATC